ACACACACACACACACACACACACTGAGTTCAACCCCCAATACCAATAGTACATGTACACACACACACACACACTGCTTGTCTAAGAATGGGCGGTCCATGATGAAATTTCACCTCCCATTAAAATACAAGGTTGCAAGCCAGGCCCCACTGGCATATGCCTATAATCCTAGCTACTCAGGAGACTGAGAAATGAGGATCACAGTTCGAAGCCAGCCTGGGCAAAAGAGTCCCCAAGAAACTCTTCTACTGAAAAATCAGAAATGGCGCCATGGTTCAAATGGCAGAGGACTAGCCTTGAGTACAAACAGGCTAAAGGACAGCAACCAGGCCCTGAGTTCAAGCCCCACAACTAAGAACAACAACAACAAAAAGGAGCAGCCAGGCACTGGTGGCTCACGCCTGTAATTCTAGCTATTCAGGAGACTGAGATCTGAGGATCACGGTAGCCCAGTTAGGAAGTCTGTGAAACTCTTATCTCCAATTAAACACCAGAAAACCCAAAGTGGCACTGTGGCTCAAAGTGGTAGAGCACTAGCCTTGAGCTGAAGAGCTGAAGGACAGCATCCAGGCCCAGACTTCAAGCCCCATGACCGGCCAAAAAAAAAAAAAAGTAGCAATATTTAAAAAATATTGTTTGTGGGCTGGGAAGGTGGCTCAGTGGTAGAGTACTTGCCTTGCATGCATGAGGCCCTGAGATCCATTCCTCAGTACCACATAAGCAGGAGTGGCGCTGTGGCTCAGTGGTAGAGTGCTCACCTTGAGCTGAAGAGCTGAGGGACAGCACCCAAGCAAGAGTTCAAGCCCCAAACAAACAAAAAAAAAGAGTTCAAGCCCCAAGACTGACCAAAAAAAAAATTGTAGTGTTAGGGTTCAAACTCTTGGCTTCCTGAATGCTAAGCATGTACTTTATCCACTCGGCTACATTCCAGCTATAGTCAGTTCTGGCGGGTAGGAGGTGTGATGGGGTATGGTGGAGAGAGAGAGAGAGAGAGAGAGGAGAGAGAGTGTGCGTTTGTATGTGTGTATTAGGGTTTGGACTTGAGGCTTCATGCTTGTTAGGCTAGTGCTCTACCATTTGAGCCAGTCCTACTTTGTGCTGATTATTTTAAAAACAAACTCTTTTTTTTGTTGTTGTTGTTGGTCCTGGGCCTTGAACTCTGGGCCGGAGTGCTGTCCTTTGGCTCTTCAGCTCAACGCTAGTGCTCTACCACTTGATCTACAGCACCACTTTCAACTTTTTCTATGTGGTGCTGAGGAATCAAACCCAGGGCCTCATACATGCAAAGCAAGTGCTCTACCACTGAGCCACCTTCCTAGTCCTAAAAACAAACGGATTTTTCTACCTCAACTGGCTTCTAACTACAGATCTCAGCCTCCTGAGTAGCTAGGATTACAAGTGTGAGCCACCAGAGCCTGGCTAATTTGTTTGTTTTGTTTTTGAGACAAGGTCTTGCTCAGTAGCCCAGACTGACCTAACACACTAGCAGTCTTCCTGCCTCTACCTCCCAAGTGCTAGATTACAGCTGGTTTGGTGTTGTTTTGTAATAAAACTAAGTTTACTCAACTTAAAGGACTTGTTTTTATTCTGAGATCAGATCATGCCATTTCTTTCTTTCTTTTCTTTTTTTTTTTTTGTGTCAGTTGTGGGGCCTGAACTCTGAGCCTGGGCGCTCTCCCTCAGCTCTTCAGCTCAAGGCTAGCGCTCTACCACTTGAGCCACAGCACCACTTCCAGCTTTTTCTGCTTCCATGGTGCTGAGGAATTGAACCTAGGGCCTCATTCATGCAAGGCAAGCGCTCTACCACTGAGCCACCTTCCCAGCCCCAGATCATGCCATTTCTATAGACTGGGGACTCATTATGACAATAACAGATGGTCATTTTAACTCTTTACTTGGCAAAATAAAATCCGGCAGGCCAGGGTGGAAATGAAGTGATAGAGTGCTTGCCTAACATACATAAAGCTATGGTTCCATGCCCAGCACTGCAAAATGAAAGAAAAACACTATGGCAACAGTATGATCATCTCTAAATCTTTGAGATTTCAGTAAGCTATGAAGCCTAAAAGACTGGCTATATTACAACCCACCTTTTTTTTGGGGGGGGGCAGTACTGGGACTTGAACTCATATCCTCACATTTGCTAGGCAGGCACTCTAACCATTGAGCCATGCCTCCAGCCCTCTTTCCTGTAAGTGTCTTTTGAGATAGGGTCTCAACTGCCCAGGCATGCATCTTACACAGTTGACGCATCTTGGGCTTCCTGGTAGTTAGGATTACTAGAGTGAGCCCAGCGCTCGCTCTTGACCGTGGCAGGCCCCCATTCATTACCCACCTTGGTGGTCTGGCGGGCACACTCCTGCAGAAGCAGTTCGCACTCCCTTATCTTGGTCCTGAGAAGGTCTTGCTTGGTGGCTGAGAACAGCAGCCCTTTGGCATCCAGAGGCCCAATGATATCATAACAGATCGGGCAGCCATCCAGGTCGTAGCCACATGTGCCCCCAGCCAGATACTGCTTGATCACCTGTACAAAGACACCAACATCGCCCCTGCTGGGTGGGCCGGGGGTGCCCACGGCTTCCCAACATCATAGTGCTTTAGTGTGGACTCGAGTCTCCCCCTTCACATGCCTTTCCCTGGATACCAACAGGTACCTAATCAGAACTCCAGCCCCCCCTCCCCAGTCCAATAGGCTGAGAACAGAGATGGAGGGGGGTCGGGGAGGAAAATTCATCCTCACCTCGGGAGGCTGCCAACTCGTGATGTTATCTATATCCTTTTGCTTCCGGAACTCCACATGCTGTAAACACACAATCAGAAACTTTAAAAAAGCAGGAGGTGATGGGCTGGGAAGGTGGCTTCGTGGTAAAGTGCTTGCCTAGCATGCACGAAGCCCGGGGTTCGATTCCTCTGTAACACATAAACAGAAAAAGCCAGAAGGGGCACTGTGGCTCAAGTGGTAAAGTGCTAGCCATGAGCAAGACACTCAAGTGACAGCCCCTAGGCCTTGAGTTCAAGCCCCAAGGCTGGGGAGGGGGGGAGAGAGGGTGGAGGGGAAGCAGGAGGTAAAAGCCAGGTGCATTGACTCAAACCGGTAATCCTAGCTACTCAGGAGACAGATCTGAGGATTGTGATTCTAAGCCAGCCAGGGCAGGAAAGTTAATAAGATTCTTATCTCCAATGAACCAGCAAAAAAGAGGAGGTAGAGCTCTTATTCAAGTGGTAGAGTGCTAACCCTTACTGAAAAAGCTCAGAGACAGTGGCCATACACAGACACAGGTACACACACACACACACACACACACACACACACACACACACACGCCACCAGACCACAGATGGTCACTACAAAGCGCTAGGCAGGAATGAGGGAAAGAAAAAAAAAAAAAGAGGCCTTGTGCATTTTAAATGTCTCAGCAAGCAGGAGCAGATGATCCACCTCAGCTAGCGGAGAACTAGGAAAATCTTGCCTTTGCAGAGCAAAAGGCCAGAGGTAGGCTCGTGGCTGTGATGGATAGGGGTGGGAGGGGATGGGTAACTGAAGATCAGGAAAGTGAGATTCTGATTGGTGGACGAGAGGTAACAGTAGCATTAAGAGCCAAGTGGATCTCACCTTCCGGAGCATGGCCTCTGACTTCTGCAGGTCAAAGCTTCGTGCTGTAACAAGAAGACACTATCAACATCAGGCTAGCAAACCCAGTGTCCCAAGAGTATGAAGAGTAAACCTGCTTGCTGATCACATGTATGGTATATATGTGCACACCAGAGGTGAGCCAGGAAGACGACACAGAACTAGAGGGAATCAGGGAAAACCAAAAAACAGCAGAACCCATCAGCTGCACTGGACATTGACCAAAATGAACTAAGCAACTTAATGGCAGCGATGGGAGGGAGGGAACAAATAGGAAAGAGGGAACAGCTGATGCTATGCAAAACAAAAGAAATGTACATACCACCCAATGTGGAAGAAATAACTGTATCGCAAAGCTCATAGAACTCATAAGTGTTATACACAACTTGCTCCAGGAAAGTTAGAATGTGTTTGTGACTTTATCTGAGCATCACTATCCCACAATACTGTGAAATTTGAAAAATTATGTAATCACTTAATCATAATTTAAAAAAAAAGAGTAAGCCTGCTTCCAGCCTGGGTATCACCCCAGCTAACTCAGATCACCCCACATCCAGAGGCTAATGGGAGGGTCACAGAGGGCTTGTGGGATATCACAGCCAATGTGTTTGTGGGCAGAACAGGTCAAGTTTAATGAATTGGGGAGGGGAGCATTGCAACTTCAAGGTCAAAGAATTTTACCCCAGTGGCTGGGCATAGTTGGCTCATGCCTGTAATCCTTGCTACTCGGGAGGCTGAGATTGGTGGATCACACTTCAATGCCAACCAGGCAGAAAAGTCCTTGAGACTCTTATCTCCAATTAACCAGCCAGAAGCAGAGCTGTGGCCCTAGTGGTAGAGCACCAGCCCAGCACAACGTAGCTAAGAACATGAGGCCTGAGTTCAAGCTCCAGTGCTGACACAAGAAGAAAAACAATTACACGCTAGTGGATATGATCAGGCAAAGAGTCTTATCTCTTCTGAGGGAAAGTGAACCCTGTACCCCCTTATCAGTTGGCCTTCCCCTCACAAACTTTTATCTACTACGCAAGTCTAAAATCCAGTTCAGAGACATTGACCCAAGTTCAAAGATGAATGTTGGGGGACAGTGCTGGAAGATCCCTCCAACCAATCCTGTCATGTCCCTAAAGACCCCGACATCCCTTAAATAGACTACAACAGTTTCCCAAAAAAGTTTTGTGGATCAATGCCCCCAGTGGCTCACGCTTGTAATCCTAGCTACTCAGTAGGCTGAGATCTGAGGACTGAGGTTCAAGGCCAGCCTAGGCAGGAAAGTCCATGAGACTCCTCTCTAGTAAACCACCAAAAAAACAGAAGTGGAACTGTGGTAAAATGGAAAAAGCCCAGGCCCTGAGTTCAAGTCCTTCTGTACACACACACACACACACAGTTTTCTGGATCAGTGCTTTATCTTGTCCCTGAACCCCTGCTCAGGTCACACACACACACACACACACACACACAGTTTTCTGGATCAATGCTTTATCTTGTCCCTGAACCCCTGCTCAGGTCACATACACACACACACACACACACACACACACACACACACACAGAGTTTTCTGGATCAGTGCTTTATCTTGTCCCTGAACCCCTGCTCAGGTCTGAACACAAAAGATCCTCCTGCCTCACATTTCCAAGGCCCTGTGCTCCTAGATTATCTGAGCTGCTACTACACACACCCCTTCCCTTGCTAGGTTTTGAACTCAGGGCCCTCCTTGCTGAGCAGATGCTCTACTATTTAAGCCACGCCTCCAGACCTACACTTAATTCTTTTTTTTTTTCTCTTTCGTGCTTGTCCTGGGGCTTGAACTCAGGACCTGGGTGCTGTCCCTGAGCTTCTTTTGTTCAAGGCTAGCACTCTACTGCTTAAACCACAGCGCCACTTCTGGCTTTTTCTGAGTAGTTTATCACAGACTTTCCTGCCCTGCTGGCTTCAAACATGATCTTCAGATCTCACCTTCCTAAGTAGCTAGGATTACAGGCGTGAGCCACCAGCGCCCATCTCCTGCACTTAATTCTTGTACTGAGGTAAGATCTACTACAGAGACACTGAAGGAAACACAATTCTCCAGATACCAGAAAATTCTGTACTATCACCCTAGATCTTCCCTCCTCCCCTCCTGCCAACCTTGGGCCCTTTAGCTATTCCTTACATTCAGCTCTAAGACCATTCAAATAACTTCCCTTTGGATTCTCTCCAACTTGCCGGGGCCCCCTCTTAAAGTGAGCTATCCAGGGTCGATTATAGCTCCAGGTGCTATTTTCCTTCTTCAATAAACCCCAAGAATTTTCATAGCAACAGTCCACACCCTCAGATCAGTCAACGGAAACCCCCAAATCCTTTACACCTGGGCTGCAGCTAAGCCTCCACCCCTCCTTGGAAAGGTGGGACTTGCCGCCCACTCTTATCAAATTTCATCTCTGCCCAATCAGCTTCCTCCCATCCTTTATAGGGTTTCTGAGCTCTAGATTCTGATGCATTTGCCCATCTGACTGATGAACTGTAGTTCCTGGCTGGATGAGTGTATGGATTTATTTGGCATCTAAATATGTGGACAGTCCTAGAACCCTGACCAGACAGAATGACCTCTGGACTGTCACTGATGGGTGCCTTCCTCACCACTTGCTGAGTGTACACAGATCTAGTCCTGGCTCTAACCCTCTAATCCTAGCTCCTCAGGGGACTGAGATGTGAGGATTGAGGTTCAAAACCAGCTCAGGCAGAAAGAAAAAGTCCATGAAATTCCATCTCCATTTAACTAGCAAAAGAACACAAAAAACAATAAACCCAAAACCTTGAAACTAGAAGCATGTCTCAAGAGGTAGAGCACCAGCCATGAAAGGAAAAAGCTAAGCAAGAACTCAAGGCCCTGAATTCAAGCCTCAGTACTGGCAAAACCAAAACAAACAAACAAAACCCTGACCAGGGCCACACTGCCAGCAGTTTTGAAAAGTGGCCTTGGAACTTTTAACGATCAGTCTTCTCATACCATAGTGACAATCTGGAACAACTTTATTTGTTTGTTGCTTGTTTAGTGGTGCTGGGGATTGAACAAAGGGCCTCTTGATTAATGAACACTCTACCACATGAGCTATACTCCCAGTCTTTTTGCTTTTAGTTCATTTTTCTTTTTCTCTCTTTTTTTTTGGGGGGGCGGGGGGGGTCGGTCATGGGGCTTGAACTCAATTCAAGGCCAGAATTCTAGCACTTGAGCCACAGCACCACTTTCAGTTTTCTGAGCAGTTTTTTGGAGGTAAGAGTCTCATGGGCTTTTGTCTGAGTTGGCTTTGAACCTCAATCCTCAGATCTCAGCCTCCAGAGTATCTAGGATTACAGGTGTGAGCCACCAGCACCTGGCTTTTAGTTAGTTTTTCAGATAAGGCTTCAAGCTAACTGTGCCTAGACTGCCCTCCAACTATGATCCTCCTACTCTGCCTCTCAAGGAGCTGGGAGCATAGACATGCACTACCATACCCGGCATGGTACAATATTTAGAGAACTATAATGTGGCTTTGCATCCAACGTCTTCTACCTTCTGTATGCAACCTTGGGCAGGATACTGCATGTCTCTGATCAATCATTTAATAAACCAGAAATATTAGAAGGACATAAAGCAACATCTTCTCATGAGAGGAGCTAGACCCCAGAAGTGGGAAAGGATACTCTTATCTTCTTAAAGAACCAGGGGTGTGGTGGTGGTGGTGAACTGTGAGGGGGGCGGGGCTTATCTGAAGGGAAGCTCTCCAGTAAGCCCTTATCTGCCAAGGTTCAGCATCCATAGCTTGTAAGGCCCTCAGAATTGCTCCCGGCTCTGGACCTGGTACTCCTCAGATCTGCTGAGCCAGGCCTCTCCCAGCTCCTACTCCCCACCGAGGGGTGGCCCGAAGCCTGGCATGGGGCATTGCCAGAGAACCCAGCCCTAACAGTAGCCACCCTGTGCTCTTGTTTGACCACACCCTAGTCCTAAAAATGTGTGGGAGGCTCAGATCTGCCCTTCCTCCTCACGGCTGCCCCCCTCTTCCATGTGTTAGCCGTTTCTTTGACTCAGAGCTCAGTCCCAGATCGGGGTCAGCAAGTGGGGATTTGTGTCTCTGCTCAATGTCTGGGGACTGGCAGAAAACTGAACTCCAAGCCCACACCTGACTTAGAGAAAGACATTCTGTGTGTGGGTGGCTAACAAAACATTTCTTTTTAGAATCAAAGGGAGAAAGAGAAAAGGGTTTGCTTTTTGAAAGCAGCAAAAACCCTAATTCAAATTCATAATAGGGTCTGACCAGGCCTGAGCTTCTGCCCAGGAAATGTAAGGCACAAATTAAATACTAAGGAGACATTCTGTTTGAAGAGGTCAGAGCTTGGATCGGTGGTAGTGCTTGCCTTGCATGCATAAGATGTGGGCTTGATCCTGAGCACCATTCAAGAAGAAAATAAAAGGGTTTTTTGGTGGTTATTGGCTTTTGTGTATATGTGTGTGTCAAGCCCTAGGGCTTGAACTCAGGGCCTAGATGCTGTCCCTGAGCTTTTTTGCTTGTGGCTAGGGCTCTACTATTTGAGCCATAGTTCCACATCTGTCTTTTTGGTGGTTATCTGGAGCTAAGTCTCACAGACTTTCCTGCACAGGCTGGCTTTAAATCATGATCCTCAGATCTCAGCTTCCTGAGTAGCTAAGACCACAGGCTTGAGCCACTGGCACCTGGTTAAGAAAAGTTTGCCCAGCACTGGTGGCTCATGCCTGTAATTCTAGCTACCCAGGAGGCTGAAATCTGAGGATGGTGGTTTGAAGCCAGCCAAGGCAGGAAAGTCTGTGAGACTCCTATCTCCAATAAACTACTCAGAAAAAGCCAGAAGTGCTCGCTTTGAGCACAAAAAGGCTCAAGGGCAGTGCCTAGACTCTGAGTTTAAGCCTCAGGACTGGCAAAAGAAAGAAAGAAAAGAAAAGAAAGAAAGAAAGAAAGAAAGAAAGAGGGCTGGGAAGGTGGCTCAGTGGTAGAGCGCTTGCCTTGCATGCCTGAGGTCCTGGGTTCGATTCCTCAGCACCACATAAGCAAAAAGAAAAAAGCCGGAAGAGGCGCTGTGGCTCAAGTGGTAGAGCGCTCACCTTGAGCTGAAGAGCTGAGGGACAGCGCCCAGGCCCAGAGTTCAAAAAAGAAAGAAAGAAAGAAGGAAGGAAGGAAGGAAGGAGGGAAAGAAGGAAGGAAGGAAGGAAGAGAGGGAGGGAGGGAGGGAGGAAGAGAGGGAAGAAGGGAGGGAGGAAAAGGAAAGGGAAGAAAAGAAAAGAAAGAAAAGAGTTTATATGAATTCTCAGGAATGACTGGAAAGAGTGCTGGGCAGGAATCTCAAACCCTAAGCTCTGCCCTGATTCTGCTTTGCGGTAGCAGTGCAAGTCCCTCTCCTCTCTAGGTACTTGGTGAACAAGGGGGCCCCCTTATGCCAAGAGGGGGGGTGGGTGGGGAAAGGGCATTAGGTGTCTGGGAGACCAGCTGGCAGGACTCTCCTAGATAAAAGAGAGCTAAGAAACCATATTTTTCTTCTTCCTAGCAGGAGCTCCATAGCTGCATCATCTTGTGGCTGGCCCTTTAAGAAGGTCTTCCCACCTACCCACCCACCCGCTTCTAGCTCCCATACTTCTGCAAATGCTGGGCCAAAATTTCCTCCAGCCTCCCCCAGGCTACCCTTCCATCCTCTCTGGGTGAGATCACAGCTTTTTTTTTTTTTTTTTTGGTGAGGGGGGGTGGTGGTAGGAGAATGGGAAAATGACAGGTTCCCTGAGCCCCACGTGGCTCTCCTGGGTGCTCAGGTGCATCTCTAACAGGTCAGCTTTATTATATTTCTGGAAAGCAAAGGAAACTACATGGTTGTCCTCCTGAGATGTGAGCCCTAGGTGTCCACAGAGGAGTAATTGCATGGTTTATACTTTAAGATCTTGGGATTTGATTCTAGATCCCAACTTAGAACATTGCTGATTTAACTCTCAATGGTGTTTCCTTTGTTATTTCTTTTCCTTTTTCTTTCTTTCTTTTTTTTTGGAGGGGGGGGGAATCAGTCATTGGGCTTGAACTCTGGGCCTGGGCGCTGTCCCTCAGCTCCTCAGCTCAAAACAGGCACTCTACCACTTGAGCCACAGTGTCACTTAGGGTTTTCTTGTGATTCATTGGAATAAGAGTCTCATGGATTTTCCTGCCCAGGCTGGCTTTGAACTGTGATCCTCAACTCTCAGCCTCCTGAGTAGCTAGGATGACAAGCATGAGTCACTGGCACCTGGCTTTTTTTTTTTTCTTTTGTCAATTATGGGGCTTGAACTCAGGGCCTGGGCACTGTCTCTGAGCTTTTTTGCTCAAGGCTAGCACTCTACCACTTTGAGCCACAACTTCACTTCTGGTTTTCAGGTGGTTCACTGGAGATAGGAGTCTCACAGACTTTCCTACCTGGGCTGGCTTTGTATCGTGATCCTCAGATCTCAGCCTCCTGGGTAGCTAGGATTACAGGCATGAGCCACCAGTGCCTGGGCCCTCCTTTGTTACTTCTAGGTCTAGTAATATAGTTTGCATAAATTTTAAAAAAGAGAGAGAAAGGTGTCAGAAGAAGAAAGGGAGGGTAGCATATGACCTAAATGACAGAGAAAAGAAGGAGTCTAACCCTAATACTAGAAAAGGAACACTCATAACTCAATCATGTCATGTCTTGCCTAGACTAGATATTTGATGTTATCCTTAGGTACCACTGCCAAGTCAGGGCACACTTGGATCTAGAACTCAGAGTCTGGAGCTCCTGAGTCCCTCACATTTCCATGCACAAGATTCCACTGCTATTAAAATAAAACAGCCAGCCTCTCTCAGGGACCAGAGTCTGTTGTGCTGACCCTGGGATTTAAACTCCGGGCCTTACACTTTTGCTTGGCTTTTTCTGCTCAAGGCTGGTGTTCTCTTCCAGTGTCTTTTGATGGTTAATTGGAGATAAGAGCCTTACAGCTTCATCTGCCTGGGCTGGCTTTGAACATTGATCCTCAGATCTTAGCTGAGTAGCTAAGATGATAGGCGTGAACCACCAGTGCCCAGCCAGATCCTAGTTCGAACCTTAGCTCTGTCTCTGGCTTTCCACAAAGCGGGGCCTAGCTTGGCCTCAGTTTCCCTCAGTCAACCAACAGAGCTGATTTATGTCGGAGATGGAAAGAGGCCAAGGCTGACAGGGAGCAACCAGGGCCTTTAGTCTCCTCTGTGCCTACAGCTTGCCCGCAGTCTTCACCTCTCTGAACCTCGGTGGCCTAGCTATCCAATAGGGTTTGCAGGTTTCTAATTACCAAGTACCTTCTAGACTCAAGCATGGGGCAGGGGGGTGGTAATTATAGCCCAGGGACAATTTAAGGCCCACAAAATCATTTGGTACACACCAGGAAAATGCACTTAGGCTTCTCCTATGTTTTGGCTGCCCATGACCTATCAGCTTGTATTGATAATTTTGTAGGACCCATAAATAACCTTTTATTTATTTTTTTTTTGGTCGGTCATGGAACCTGAACTCTGGGCCTAGGTGCTGTCCCTCAGCTCTTCAGCTCAAGGCTAGCGCTCTACTACTTGAGCCACAGCACCACTTCTGGCTTTTTTCTTTTTGCTTATGTGGTGCTGAGGAATCGAACCCAGGGCCTCATGCATGCAAGGCAAGCATTACTACCACTGAGCCACCTTCCCAGCCCCATAAATAACATTATAAATATCCAGTGAGCTGGGAGCTAGAGGCTCACGCCTGTAATCCTAGCTACTTAGGAGACTGAGATCTGATGTTCAATGGTCTGAGATCTGAAGATCAAAGACAGCTTGGGCAGAAAAGTCAGTGAGATTTTTATCTCTCATTAATAAGCAAAACAAACAAACAACAAACAATAACAACAACAACCAGGAAGTAGAGCTGAGGCTCAAGTGGTAGTGTGCCAACAAAATATCTAAATGATCCTTAGCAGACACAAGGTTCCCACCCTCGCAAGGCTGATTCTCCCACCCCAAATTCTCAGATGGTCAGGGGTGGGTTTCCAGGAGTTGTCAGTCTGTTTTCTGTTGTCCAGAATGAGCCTTTGCCCAATCCAGCGCCTCTCCCTGCGCCCTCCCCACCCCAGCCCCAGCTCCCTCCCTTTTTCCTCACCTCGGAGCCAGCGCAGGAGAAAGTAGTCATCTGGGTTGGGCAGGATGGGCAAGACGTCCTGAACATTCTCCCGAAACTGCAAGGAGAGGCAGCGGAGTAAGTGGCTGTCCCCACACCCGGCCTAGCCTCTCTCTGGGGACCTTCTATAGGGGCCTTTATGGACACTTCTTTTACATGAATGGGTGCTGCACACACTAGCGGAACACATGCCAGGTGTGATGTGTGGGGTGCTAGGTCTTACCAGAGGGGTGCTGGGTAGCAGGAGAGGGGAAAGAAGAGACGGGGACACTTTCCTACCTTGCTGTGGGCTTGCCTATTGGCACTGGAGTGGGCAGATGGGCATGTGCCTGGTTAACTGCAGGAATGGGCGTTCTGATTTGTGCCACAGTAAATGTCAGTGTGGGCCCAGCGCACGTGATTTTGGCACTGTGTCTCCAACACTGCTCACTCGGATCCCCTTGGAGCGTCCCCAGTCTTCAGATGAAAAAATATTAACCCAGGGAGGCTCCGTAACACATCCAAAGTCAAACAGCATTACAGAGATGAAAATCTGGGTCTATTTTTCACACTAGAGCACACACTCTCCCCACCACAGTTTTCTACCAAGTCCTTCTGCCTCTCCCTCCTTGGTAGTAAAAGGGAAAAAAATAGTAGAAGGGAATGGTGGTTCCTGTATGACTTTGTGTAAAATGGCATTTTTTTAAACTGTGAAAATACTGTACAGAGGGGTTACAATTACATGGGCAAGGTAATGAGTACATTTCTAATCAAGCATTGTTGCCTCCTCCTTTGTTTCCCCTTCCCTTCCCATCTCCTACCCCCCTCACCCCCCACCCCTAAAATGACATTTGAGCTGGGCCTGAAAGCAACAGGAGATGGAGGTTTAAAGAAAAGAAGAAGAAGAAGAAGTCCAGGGCTGGGAAGGTGGCTCAGTGGTAGAGTGCCTGCCTAGCATGCATGAGGCCCTGGGTTCGATTCCTCAGCACCACATACACAGAAAAAGCCAGAAGTAGCCCTGTGGCTCAAATGGTAGAGCACTACCAGCCTGGAGCACAAAGAGGCTCAGGGACAGTGCCCAAGCCCTGACGGGCAAGAAAAAAAAAAAAGTCCAGGGGTCAGCAGAAAGCCATGAAAGGAAAAAAGAAGTGGCTTCTCTAAACAAGAAAGGTGGACAGTGACCCCCAGGGACAGGCCACACCCACCTCTAGTCTCTCATCATAGGCCAACAGGCTGCAGTGTGCCCTCCCTAAGCCTGCGGTCCCCACCACTCACCTGTCTCTGGTCACTGACCTCCAGGACAGCCCCAGAGAAGCCAACTGTGCCTCTTGCCTAGGTCAGCAGGGTTCTCTGACTCTCCCCTCCCCCCCCCCCAGCTCCCAGAGCTTCCAGATCGCTGTTCCTTGCTGCTCCTCCAAGCCATAGGCATGAAGTCAGCCCGGACCGACCCTACCCAGCTCCTGTGTCCACTTTAATCGCTACCTAATCCCATCTCGGCCCGGCTTCCCTTGCGAGTGAACTCGGAAGCCTCCCTGCCCAGGCTTGGGGGTGGTTGGGGAAGGGTGGGGGGGAGATTCCACGGAACCAAATTCTCCCCATTGATCCTGCAGAAGAAACATCAGCCCCCCACTTTCCGGCCAATGGAAAGCTAGCCCTGGCCGTGGAGCCCTGGTCTGGACCCCAGTGATGCTGGCTCAGAGAACTCTTCTCCCCGAGATCACCTGTGAGGAGAGGATGGAGGAAGAGACCCCCAGCACTTAAACCGTCATCCCCCTCCTCAGCCCAGGTAAAGCCGAGTCCATCCCCCTACCCCTTTCCCCCTGAAAGTACCAGCCAGGCTGGGCTCCGAGTTTCAAGACAGGGGTGGAGGTGAGGCTTGGGATTTGCCCAACCTCACCCCATCCCTGGGAGTCCCAGGAAAGATCTTAAGTGCGCACACAGAAGAGTCGTTTGCCTTCAACACTAGCCGGATGCGACCTCATTTCCTTGCACGAAGAAGGGAACAGAGAAGGACAGGGCTTAGCCCAAGGTCACACAGGCGCGACCACGGTGCCCAGCCAGGGGCTATCCCAGTGTGCTAAGGAGCTGTCCACCGCCCTCTGCCCCGGCCACTGCCCTTTCGAGGGGGAACCACCTCCGGGAAGCGGGGCGGGGGGAAGCCCTGCGGCCCTGCCGCCAGTCCCCGCCAGCCCCGGGCATCAATGTTGCCTTTGTGCCCCGGGCTGCCCGCGAGGGCTTCCCGGGGGCCGCGGACCGGGGTGGACAAACTTCCCGGGGTCCCGGGAGAGGGCGGACGCTGGGCATCGGCCCCGAGCGGGGCGACGGCCGCGCGCCCTCCGGGGACCCCAGCTCCGTGCCCCGAGGCGGGGCCGCGCCCTGGGGCCCGGCGACGGCTCACCTTGGCCAGGGCCTCCTGCTGTTTGGGACTCAGGTCGCCCACTCGGCCGCTCATCGTGGCTCAGGCTCGGGGCGCGCGGCGGCGGCGGCGGCTGATGCAGCCCAGACGCGTCCTGGTGCAGCACCGCCAAGTCCCGGGCTTCTGCGGAGCGGCGAGGCGCGCGGCCAAGCCCCGCCTCTTAAAGGGTCCCGCGGGG